TGTTAAAAACTGCATATTGTAGGTGCCCCTGGGTGGCTCCGTGGGTTAAGTGTCTGACTCTTGATTTCACTTCAGGTCACGATCTCAGGGCCATGAGATCCAGCCTCAAGTTGGGCTCTGTGCTGGGTGCAGAGCCTGTTTGAGATTATTCTGTCTCCCCCTCTCTCCCCTTCCTTCCTTGCTCACACTCGCTGTCCCTCTCTCTCTCTCTCTCTCTCTCTCTAAAAAATAAAAGAATAAAAAGAAAAGGAAGGAAGGAAGGAAGGAAGGAAGGAAGGAAGGAAGGAAGGGAAAGAAAAGAAAGAAAGAAAGAAAGAAAGAAAAGAAAGAAAGAAAGAAAGAAAGAGAAAGAAAGAAAGAAAGAAAAAGAAATCCTGCATATTGTACACATGGCAGAAAGGGGAGTTTATGTGACATTTTTTTCTTTGCTTCCCTATGCAGAAGTGAAGCTCCAGAATATTTGAAGTAAAATATTTTTTCTCCTTCAGAAGTATCTTTAAAGTTCAGGCAATGGAATAAAACATTTGTAGTTCTAACTGTCTGAAATGTTCGTTTGCTTTTTTGTTTTGTTTTGGACACTGACATTCCTCAATCAAGAAGATTAAAGAAGAAACAGAAGAGAGGCACATTTGAAAGTGGTTAACCAATGAGTCTGAAGGTTTAAGAAGCAATAATTTTTTATGATATGAATCTAAACTAAACTGGCCCTTTCTGAAAGACTGACCTTGTATTCAGGAACTACCTTCATTCCCTCTTCCATGGGGTTACACCCCTAAATGCCACCACATTACAGAATTATAAAGACCTAAGTTTCAAATGACTGTGAATAATACAAGAATCGATTAAGAACTAAAACCTCAAAATGTTTCACATCGACTAAACATTGATTTGAACCTCCAGGGCAAAACTTCCCATCTCTCTGGAATAATGTTAACTGAACTCCTAGATAAATTTTTCTCATGCGAGTAAATATCTAAAGCTGTCCACTGGGCTGGTCAGAAGTATGCTTCCAGAAGCAGCTTCTACCTTCTGTATTTTCTGTGCATGTGTATTGTTTCCTGTTTGTGTTATGCTTGGTTCTGTATCTTGGATCTCAGAGTTCATTTGTTGCTCTTGGGCTTCAGTATTTTAAGTAATGCAACTTAACAGATTATTTATCATAAAACAATTTAAGATGACTAGGATTTTTGATCTAAGTAACATTTGTACCTTAAATCACCATGTGCTTTGGTGCTTTGTGGCTTGTTGATAACCGATATTAAAATATTTTCTCCTAGAGAACATGCATCATATAATTTTTATAATGTGATATGAGTCAAAACTGAGTTGTGTTATGGATATATTTCTGCTCACAGTCTTTCCTGTATATTCCCTCTAAACCCCACCCGACATGAACATCTATACCACTCAGGCACATTCCTACAGGAGGACGCAGGCCCGCATGGAGGAACACACGCTGTCCTCACTCTGGCTCTTGCTGAGGATGCAGGTGCAGAGCAGGGCCTGGTCCGGAGCTCTCCGAGGGCCATGGGGATGCAAATGCACCCCAAGAGACTTGCAACTAAGATACTCAAATGTTCTCAACTCCTTTTAAAACTTTTTAAAACTCTCTTCTAAAACTTTTTAAAACTCTCTTTTAAACTCCTGTTTAAAAAACTGTGCCAACCATAACCATTTTGTTTTCAAAATCCTGGAAAAAAACAGGATGAAAAGAAATAGACGGTCAGAAAAGGTAAGTGAGCAGACTAAGATCACCCAAGAAGCAAGTGGCAGAACCCGGAGTCTGAAACCTAAGTCTCCTCACAGGCCCTCCAGAAAAGGCAGTGGGGAGGGCAGCCACAGACACAGCAAAATCCCAAATGTGTATCCCCATTCCCTCCCCCTGCATCCTCAGCTGAAATCCAGTACACTGGCTGGCCAATAAAATGTAGGCATCAATTGTGGCCCAGTGCCTAAAAGAGTTACCCAGCCCCTTCTTAAAACATACTTATGAACTTCAGGAGTAACTGGAAATGTCTTAGTATCTTGCACAGTGCATGTTGAAAAATCACATTCGTTAAAACCACCTGCTACTACCTTCATTCTTCTAACTCTGGTGACATCGGTAGGAACCCGGTCAGCCTACCTTTAAAATTTGGAATTTTTAATGTATGCATATCTTCAATGTTTTGCTTTTTTAACACGTTGGCCTAATGTCTCCAGTGTAGTGATGCCAGGCCAAGAGCTATGGCTCAAATACCACCTCATTTCAGTCTGTTTTCAGCAAAACAGCCTCAGGACTTCTCATTGAATGAACAAGTTGTCTTGCTACTCAGCCCTGCTGCTTTGCTGATGCTGACAAAGGAACACCCTACCCTTCAATCCTTGCCACCTTCATCCACTCATTCCAAGAATCTTGCTGGTAATGTCAAGTCTGCTCAAGCTAGAGGTCAGTATTGCAATTGGCCCGTGTTGGTCATGAACATCTCCAGTGCGCAATGGGGGCCCTGCAAAGGCCAAAATGAGGGGCTCAAGGCCATGTTGGTACCATGGAAGGACAAGGTGTTATTTAAACCTGCTCACATACAGGATGGTTATTCATATTGCAAAAGGTTAACTAAGGATGCCTTTAAATAATGCACTTTTTAAAGGTATTCAAAAGTCTGAATCCTCCAAGAACGCTGACAATTTTTAGGAGCAGCTTTTATAAAAAGGAAGGCACAGAGGTGGCAGGGTGGGAGGGAGCCATGTAGGAATGGGGGCAGTGGGAGCACCTTCCCATTGTCTCTGGAGGCCTCACCATGCCATTTCTCTCCAGCCAACAGAAACCACATTTTGACTCAAATCTGAGCAAGCAAGAATATCTCCCTAGAGGGTGTATCAGATGTGACTGGTGTGATGACCAAACATTTTCTAATTGAGAGATGAAATATTCAGTACTGCTCATAAACCCCAGAATAGCACCGACTAGTGTCTTAGATAGAAAACTTACATAAGAAAATACCTTTTTATTCTCTTATGATAGAAATAACTCCCTAGAAAATACGGGTCAGAGTTAATGAGAAAGAGGAGTCAAGTCCAGTGTGTAACACTTTTAATTTATGTCATGCTAAATGTGGAATAAATTAATTGCTTATGATTTATGGATTGAGTTTAAAGTTTTTGCCAAAAATAAAGTAATTATTTTGCCTCTCCTGGTTCAGCTTGAATCCAGTTTATTCCCTGCACATCAACTGGTATGAGCCAAATCCAAGGGTTTCAAATGTTTCTTTTTCTCAGGATCTGGATTTCTCCTCCCTCCTTCAATCCCCCCTATGTCTCAAGGAATGTCAGTAGGTTTCCTTTTATTACCACAAAATGGAAATGGGAGTGCCTTCATTTCTACTTTAACATCATCTAGGTTCTAATAGAATCATTTAAAGCAGTCTTTTCTGATGATAGGTGAAAATGGGACAAAACGTCATTAGCTGGAGCTACATGAGAATGCGTTTAGAGGTGAGGTGGGCTTGGAAGGGGTCTTTAAATACTTCATCAAACACGGCCTCCAAAGCCCTGAGGAGGGGTGACTAAAAGAGATCAGGGTAAAGGGTCAGTGAGTGTGGTGCAGGATGGAGGGTACATTGGGGGTTCAGTATATTATTCTCTCAACTCTGGTGTACCATTGAAATTTTCCATGATAAAAAAAAAAGCAAAAGCAAAACCAAAAAACTTTACAAACAGATCTTTCCATTTTCTGCCTTTTCTTTAACAAGGCCCTCTCGGTCCTGGCGATTCCATTCTCATGCAGTAGGCGGGGGCGGGGTGGGAGAGGGCACCGGACCAGCTGTGAGCCAACATTTATTTGCTCCTTGCAAAGGGGCTGGGGTTTTGGAGAGAGAAGGGCTCTTCCTCACAGCCTCTCACAGGCTTGGCACCTGTGGTCTGATCCCCAAAAAGCCACTCCACACAACCACCAGGCACACACGGTGTGCGAGAATTCGTTCGAAGATCTGGCTCTGGTTACTTCCTGCCCTAGCCAGGGGGGACATCAGCCTGCCGGGGGCCACCGGGAGGATCTTGGAGTCGGAGCCGCCCCTCCCGGAGGGCCGCGGCCAGCTCCGACGCGGGCCGTCCTGGCGATCGCACCGCAGCCAGGAAAAGTTGGCCGGCTCTGGGGTTTGTTGCCAGGCTGCTCACCCACCGGCTGAGGGTCTGCGCAGCCCGCCTCTCCCTCTGCTTCTGGCTACACCCGCGGGCCAGTGGGGGGGACGCGGGAAGAGGCAGGCACGAGCACGCACCACCGCCCGAGCCCGATTCCAACCAGAAAGCCGAGCCGCCCAGCCTCTGCCCCTCAACCGGTTCAGCCTCGGCTGTGTCTGCTGCGCTGCGCCCCGGGGCCGGCCAGGGACCGCGCGGACACCAAGCCCGGCCCCGGCCCCGGCCCCGGCCCCGGCCCCAGCCCCGGCCCCAGCCCCGCGGCGCCCGCGCATCTGACGCCGCAGAAGGGCTGCGCTCCCTGGAGTCTGGCGGCCAGAGCCCGGCTCTGCGGGCAAGGGGAACCTGCCTCCCCCCCCCCCCCCACCAAGGGAAAGAAGGCGACCCGATGACGCCTTCCCCTGGCCTCTCCGAAAAGCCAGGCGACCCCACTGGCAGCCTCCCCGAAGCAAGGCTGCAAGCGCCCACTCTACCGGAGTCTTGCAGAAAACGCACGAGCGACCGAAGCCCCTTCCCTCAGAAAAGTGCCCAACTCCGCCGTATCCGTTGCCCCCTCCGCAGCTCGGAGAGCGCACGCCAAGGGGCAGAGATCATGCCTGGGGAAATCGGGACTGGAACTTGATCCCCCAAAGCGGTCCACGCGGTCCACGCGGCCCCCTGTCTGAGCCGGGGCTGCGGCTCCCAGGGACCAGGCACTCGCGGACGCAGGGGCTCCGGGCGTCCCCGCCTGCGTCCCGGCCCGGGGCTGGGAGTCCCCGTCCCAGCGCGCTCGCGCCCTCGCCTTCCTTTTCCCCTCCGCTCGGCGAGGGCAAGCCAAGCCGGTTTACCTTCCCGGTCCCGTCCGGACCTCGGTCCCCAGCCCCAGCCGGCCTCTTCTGGGTCGCTTCGGGGCTCGCCCGAAGCCGCAGAGCCCCTGCGCGCCGAGCGCCCTCACGGCCTTGGGCGGGCCCGCTCCACCGCGCCCCGGGCCCGGGTCTCACGAGCTCCCACCGACTTCGCACAGCAGCCCCTCCGCGCCGCCGGGGCGCCCAGGGCGGCGAGACGCCAGGCTGCAGCCGGGGCTCACAGCACCCGGCCCCTTCCTCCGCATCTTCCGCGCCTGCTCTGCTCTCCCCCGGCTCCCGGCGACCCCGCGCCTCCCAGGTCGCGCCGCCGCGACCCCCGGACTCACCGCGGGCCCCGCGCCGCCGCCGGGTCTGCGCGCTCCGAGGCGGAGCCAGGGCGCCCTCCCACGCGAGCGCCGCCCCCCGCCCCCGCGGCCCCCGCCCCCCGCCTTCCGCCCCTCCGTCGGCCCGCGCTGCAGGGGCAGGGGCGGTCGGGACTCACCTCCCGGACAAGGTGACCCGGCCAGTGCGCCCCGGCGGCCGCCCGCGCGTCTCCGGAGCCGGCGAGCGTGCGGGGCGCGGGGCGCGGGGCGGTGCGGCGCCCGCCTCTGCTCCGGCTCCCGGCGCTCTCCTGGGCCCTGCCCCCGCCTCCCTAGCGCCGCTCCCCGCCCTGAGCTCGCCGCCCGCGCCCCCGGCTGCCCCGCGCGCGCTAGAGCGCCGGGTAGGGGCCGCGGCGGCCGCCGGGGGCCGGGAGAGCTCGCGCGCGGAGGCGACGGGGCGGAGCCGAACCTCCAGCCCCGGGCAACCCAGCGGGTGCGGGGAGACCCCGCGGCGCGCACCCGGCCTGGGACGCGCCGCTGGGCTCGGCTCGGCTCGGCTCGCCCGGCCTGGTGACCCGCGTGCTGGCCGCGGTGGCCACGGGCTCCAGGGGAGGGTGACGGCGAGGGCGAGAACGGCCCCGCGCGAAGGCAGCCGCCAACTTTGCCCCCGGCCGACAGGCCCCCCGGGGGTGATCACGTCCATGGGTGGCCCGGGGCCAGTGTCTGGGACTGTGGTGGCTTCAAAGACTGGGGGTGGGAGGAGCCCCTGGCTACTCCGAGGCCCGGGTAGCAGGCTGGCTCCAAGAGGAGATGATTCCCCTCGGTCCTAAAGGCCTCCCCAAGCTCCTGTAAGGTTTTGAGGTTCAAAGGACCCACTTTACAGGTCTGGCATCTGTTCGAGTACTGGCCAGCCAGCTATCCAGGTGAAACCAGGTGCGGCCCGGATTCTGAGACACCCTGCCCAGCCCCAAACACTGTTTTCTTCCACTGGCTGCCCCTTGGCAATTGGAAACTACAGCTGTGGGGGAGGGCGGGTTGGGGGCCATAATTCTGGTTAGGAGAGTGGGTATAGGGGAGCAGAGCTGAGGAGGGCCACCTCCCAAGATATTCTGCATTTGAAGTGTTGGGGGAAGGGAGTATAGTGTTTTTAGTTTGAATTGCATAGAGAAAGAACCCCGAATGAAAGATCTATCCGAAAAGGAGTGAAAGTGACTTAGGAAAATAATCTGTGAGCCCATTTTTACCCCGGGTGCAGACCTGCTGTAGACTCCAGCCTTGCTGGCCAAGGGGCCCTGTTAGTCAAGGCTGGTCATGCCCGCAGGAGACCCTCCCCCTTGCCCTAGTAACCAACCAACCCTTTGCCCCCACCCCCCACCCCCGCCCCCAGAAGGCACTGCTTCCACTAACAGTACCTCTGGTAGAATTTCCAAAGGGCAGGAGTTAGAGGTGGTGCAGGAAGGATGGGTCCCTCACTGTGTTCCCTTGGGGGGCAGTGTGTGTGTATGTGTGGGGGGGGAGTCTGGCACCTGTGGAACATCAGCAACCCAAAGAGAATGCTGAAGTCAGAATGGTACTGTAAAAAGACTTTCAAGTGGAGGAACAGGTCAGCAGAACCAGCACTATCTATGCTTTGCCTTCATCATTTGAATTGCAATCCAATCTCCATCTCTGCAGCATGGCAAAGCAAAACTGGAGGTTCTTCCTCTAGATCCTCAGAGCTACAAGCTCATGGTTTGGTACATCTCTCCCACCTAGGAGAAGTTCTCAGATGGGAGGGAGATGCCCCCCACCCTTACCTTAGTAAAGTTGCTAGTCCTTTCCTGAACAGAAAATTCTCTCATCTGAACCACTGGGTTAAGAAGGTGTTGTTATACTCATCAGAGGTGAGCAGAGAATCATTCCCATTTATCAGATGAAAAAGCTGAGGTTTTTCTTTAGAAAGGCTAATTGAGGTAGTTGTAGCTACAGAATATACAGAAGTAGCCTGGAGCACAGTTTGTTGCCTTTCTGCCAATGCCGCTTTTGCTTATCTGGGTTTTGGGTTGAATTTTGGAGGGCAGTTTTGTTTTGCCAAGAGAGAACTTTGACTCTAGGTACTATCTGAATTTTAAGTTGGATTTTTCCTAATAGGACAGGAGGCACCTTCCTTCGTGCAGTATAAAACATGATCACTGATTGCCTGTGGAGTGTTCCCTCCAGAAGTGAGGATTGCAGAAGTTAAAGGAAGAAAACACCTTTGAATTTTGTGGACTATCTGTATATCCTAGGTACTTTGAAACTTTTCAGGTTGATACTCTGGAACTGTGTACCCTGGCTCATCTTGGTGATGTGTTGAGCATGGATATATTTGTAGGGAGTGTGGGTGGTATGGAATTGCATTTCCTAATATTTTCTAAGAGTTGGTTTCCATAATGTGCCTCAATCAATTTAGCATCTAAATATTTACAATTTTCTTTTGTTGTGGAATGAATATGAAACTTCTGACAGTTTTATGGGTGAACTCCCTTAAGTCACTATGTTCTATGTTTGTAAAGCTCTTTACTTTGGATGCTTTGCAGGTACTGAAGAAATACTCAGCGATTCATAATTGTTGAAAAAACCACATTGGACTGTGAGATCAAAAAACAGATGTCTCTGAAGAAAGAGGGTAATTTGAAAGAAATGGAACAATTCATAATGTGGTATGAACATTCCTCTTCCTCATCTTCTTCTTATTAATTTCTTCCATGCCACTAACATAGCTTCAAGATCCCCAGATACACGTTGTCTTTTCTTGACACTACCCCATACACGCATACACACACACACATATACACACACAAACACACTCCTTTTAGTGTTTCTGCAATCCTAATGGGCCCTACTCTTCACTGCAAAAGAAACTTGCCAGGATCAGGAGTCTAAAACCCTGAGAGGGGTTGTCACCTGCTCCCAGCAAATGTGGCAGCTCTGGGAGGAATCCAGGGCTCTTGGGGGCACCTCAGTTGATTTGGAATGTTAACTGTGCACATAGAGCAGTTTGTCTTAAGTGTGGTTCCCTGCTTGTGATTGGAGTGTTAGCATAACTGATATAGGTGATGAAACACTGAAATGAAAAAGCAAATGAGGGACTGCCACATATTGGGCAGTGGGACACAGTAGAAATCATCAAATCTCCTAGAAACTGGGTAACCTTCTCAATGATTCTTATCTCTTACAAGAGATTATAGAACTTTTCAGAGCTATGGACAGTTGGTGAGGCCAATTCACATGTTGTGAAGAACTGTCACTAAAGCACCAAGCCAGCTGTCAGTCTTCTCAGTGATTTTCAGGAGAAGCTGTTACCTGCCCAGAGGTAGGTGGACTTGATGAGAGGAAATACAGATTCAAGTTTTTAAAAATAAGAAATATTCCTTAAAATGTCTTAAACTGAAAGGCTTTAGATCAAGGGCTATAGTACTATGTGTAGTGTCTGGGGGTCAACAGAGCTCATTCAGAAACCCATCTTTAGATCAAACATATAAAGTGCTCTGTCCCAAATGTTGATTGTAGTATTAAAGATGAAGAATAGGTATATGCAATTTTAAAGCACTTTAATTAATATAATACAGGGTTTCTTTTTTTCTTTTCGCTCCCCAAAATCTATTACTAAATTGTTTGTCTTAAGTTGATGACATCCAGGAATTGAAAAGCTGCAATGTCTTATGACAGTGGAATCCTTTTTGACTTAGAAGGACAGGAAGATGAGCAGTCAGATGTTCAATATAGACATGAGAGGCAAGGTTCTAAGAAAAAAAAACATGAATGAATCAGAAATAAAGGGAGAAAAAGCTAAAACCTAGGGAGATTTCTGAGGCCACGTCGAATGAGAGTTTAGAACATGAAAAAACTTGCCAAAGAATGTCATAAACTTGGAGCTGGAGGAATTCTTGATGACCACCCTCTGATTTTCCCCATGAGAAGACAGTTCTAGAAGGGCTGTGTGGAAGGGCAGTCAAGCCACATTTGGGTTACTGATTTCCAAATTAGCTGTTCTGCCTCTGCATCCATTACATCGCTTTGGAAAGAATCAAAGAAGAGAGAAAGTGAATGTGTTCTAAGCAATTTCTATAGTGCCAGAGTATCTCTTATCTATTGTTTCCCCCAAACTCAGTAGCTTAAAATGATAATCACTCACAATTCTGAGGGTTGGCCAAGAGGGCTAAGCCCACTGAGATGGATTGCCTCTGTTTCACTTGGTGCTTCCTGGGCTCACTCAGACCTATCTGTGGTCAGCTGGCAGTCAAAAGCCTGACTCACCTATCTAGGGGTTGATTGGTGATGGGCCAACAGGCCACGCTGTAAGTCTGCCACCCAGATGGCTGTCCCAGCATTCCTTACAAAGTGGTGGCTGTAGGGTGCCCAATGGCAACAGCTTCAGTGCACACAGATTTCCAGCAGACTTCACACTAGCTATGGTCTCATTAACCAAAGCAGGTCAGGTGCCCTGTTCCAAGGCAGGAGATGGGGAAATAGCTTTCATGTTTTGATGGATGGAGCCATAAAATCACATTGGCAATGAGCATGTATGTACTAAAGGGTGGAAGGAATTGAGGGTCATTTTTGTTATCTGCTGCACCTAGAAAAAAGGTAGGTTCTTTCTATACATAACCTCACTGAATTCTGATCTCAGCTCAGTGGGGCTGGGAGTGATCCCAGGAGCCGAAGAGGCTGAGAATCAGGGACTGAAATAGCTCACATAGTTAGTGAGAGGAGAGGTAAGGTGCAGATCCAGGCTGTCTTCTTTTTTTTTTTTTCTGGAGCAACATTTTTTTTTAATAATAAATTTATTTTTTATTGGTGTTCAATTTGCCAACATACAGAATAACACCCAGTACTAATCCCGT